AGCCAAATCCCAAGGAGTTTTTGGTGCTACTTGGCTTGTTATATATCAGCTGTATTCTGTTATGAAAATCATGTGTGCCTTCATAGTTTTCCCAATTGATTTTTCCCTAAGAAGGGCTAACAATGTGAACTGATCACTCTCTAGACATACACATTCCAGGCATTTGGAGAACAGCCTCAGGAAAGGCTTTCAGACAGACAGCTTGGACAGATAGGAGCCACAGGAAAAAAGAAGACAGTTTTATTTTCTCCCAATGACCTAGCAACTTACAGATTTTTAACATCTTTTACCAAATACATTTAAGACTATAGTTGTGCACATAAGATCCCTCTTCTTAGATATTACCCGCATTTAGCCTTTAGTTAATTCATTAGTCACTTCCCCTTTGGGTGGCAAATGGTAATTAACAACTATTGCCCCTCTTTGTAATTCTTATCAACCCTCCATTTGATCCTGATAGCAGACAGTCACTGCCTGAGGAAGTTTAGGCTGAGTGTCCTGGGTGGAGGGGAGGATTGTGATTTTGGGGAGATATATAACTGTAAAGCAAGGGAGGAGGAAAGGATTAAAGTGAATGGACCAAAGAACTCTGTGTGCGTGTGTAGATTGATTTGCCAACCTTAAAGAACAGATTCTCAGCTGGTTGATAGATTCTTCCGCGGACCCTGAAAGGGAGACTATTAGGGGCTGGACCCCAATAGTCCCCGATATCTCGGATCTCTGGGCATATCACTGAGGACAAGGACTTCAAGATGGAAATGTTGCCAGGTGTAGTAGCACATTAGTGTAATCCCAGCACTTAGGAGACCGAGGTAGGAGGACCATCGCAAGTTTGAGGCCAGACTGGCCTACATGGCATATTTTGGCCAGCCAACAGCACCCAACCTCGAACATAATTAAAATAAAATCCCAAACGGGAAACATTTCAACTTATCACAAAAGATTTTCAAACCTAAAAGTCGATCTTACTGGTACCCATGACAAAACAGGAATAAAGAGAGCGTCAAGTTCTCAGCTACACCCTCTTCTTTTTCAGACAGAATGAATAGTTTCCAACTTCCCATACAGCCAAGGGTGGCTTTGAAATTGTGACCCTCTGCCTCTGCCTCTCAAGTGCTAGCATTGCAGGTGTGTACCACCACACCTGGTTTTTTGAGGGGGTGTTTTGGGTTTTTAATTCAGTGCTGGAGCTCCAACCCAGGGCTTCATGTGTACTAGGCAACCACTCTTCCAACTGAGACAAATCCCCAGCCCCTATGTCCCCCTTTTAAACATGTTTATCTAGCTGGAGAGATGGCTCAGCTGCTAAAGGCTAGGCTCGCAATAAAAAATGTTTATCATTTATTATTTTTATCATTGTATTTTTTTTTTTGCAGAAGTGTTATTTTACTGTAAATGCTTTTGTACATCTTCAGGACCTAGGAGCTCTTAAAATGCATACATAAATCCCCAATGCTCTCTTATTCTAAGCGAAATTACTCTTTCTTTGGGAGGATTATTGGGGGGTTTTATTTGCTGCTTATTTTGCCTTTTTGTTGGGGGAAGGGCAGGCAGGGACTCACTATGTAGCTCAGGCTGATCCAAAACTTACTATGGATCCCAGGCTGGCCACAAACTCCTGCCTCAGCCTGCCTAGTGATAGGATTACAAATGTAAACCACCAACCTGGGCTCAAATTTTCTTTCTGTGTTTGGTTATTTATTTGTTTTGAGACAGGATCTTATACAATCAAAGCTGGCCTCAAACTTGTTTTATAATCAAGACTGGCCTTGAACTCCTGATCCTCTATGTCCCCTACCCCAATTGCTGATCTTCATCAATACCACACCTAGTTTATGTGGTGCCAGAGATGGATCACAGTGAGTGCTGGGCAAGGACCCTCCTGACTGAGCCATAGTCCCAGTCCCAGATGCCCACCCTTAATATCACTCAGTATCCATTTTCTGAGGTTCCTGCCCGGTGTTGTCCCCAGGATCAGTAAATGACATGAGGGCCCTGGACTCCTGGGGGCAGAGCAGTATTACTCTACGTTCTACACCATAGTATCAGTTTAAGGAGGTGCACATGGGTATTCTAGGCCAAAGGCTCCCAGGGGTGTTTTTCTGACAAAATGCTTAAAAAGATAGTAGCTACGTATTTGCATGTCTGGATTTGCAGACAAACCCCGGTCCTATCTGGAGTTACAATAGATGCTCATCAAGGGGGAATTATTTTTAAGTCACTGGTTTGTCTCACCTAGAGATTACCCCCGATTCCACAGCTAGGCTCAGCCCCTAGACTGCACCATGCTCTAGATGTCTGCCCACAGCTACATGTTGCATTCTCTCTGCTTCTCTCCGACTGAATATAAGTCAGGATTCCCACGAGCCCTCCTTGAGTTTGGATCACTTGTTTAAGTGGCTCAGAGCTTGGGGAAACACTTCCATTACCTGTGGTGGTTTGTTCGTGTGTGTGTGTGTGTGTGTGTGTGTGTGTGTGTGTGTGTGTGTACCCACAGAGGTCAGAAGAGGGCATTAGATCCCCCTGGAAATGGTGGGTTCTGAGTCTGCAGTGTACCTACACCATTGATAAGCTCCCCAAAACCTATCCATTTACTTCTCTATGGAGACCTGTCACAGGGGCCTCAACAAGAATGTCAAAATGTCACTGGGACGGTGGTGGCACACACCTTTTATCCCAGCACTCAGGCAGGCAGATCTCTGTGAGTTCAAGGCCAGCCTGGTCTACAGAATGAGTTCCAGGACTACACAGAGAAACCCTGTTTGAAAAAACCAAAAAAAAAGAAAAGAAAGAAAGAAGGAAAGAAAGAAAGAAAAGAATACAAAAAAGTGACAGAACAGAAAGAGTAAGAGCTAAGGTTAACGTATTCTTCATGGTGTCCCTGGAGAAATCCCTCCTGCCGTGCATGGAGCATGCGCCCTCTAGAGTGTCTTGTCACCTGTTTTGGGCGGGAGGGAGTTAGGAGCCAGAAACAGTGTATGAAAGCCAACGTACATCCATCACAATATCCCTAACATTTAAAGTGCAGGAATTTCACATAAATATCCAGGCTCTGACTTTTCTCGAAAAATGTGGCCAACCTGGCACCATGGCTTCCTTCCAGCCTGGCAGTGGTAGGTCAGAGCTGACTCAAGGCTGCCACCTTGTGGTGAGACAATGCAGCATCATGCCCAGCACGGCCGCCCAGCCACTTTGCCTCCTAGGTCCTGAGCATGCCCACCTTGCTCCAGGCTGCAGACTCCACGAAGGCAAGGACTGCCTGCCTGTCGTCTTTTGGTTTTGGAGAAAGTTAAACTTTTTAAAATGTCTTTAATTTATCATGGATATATTTTTTCATTTTTTTAATGTTACATTTACTTATTTTATGTGGGTGGGTGGGCACCTGCGTGCTACCACACTGGTGTGTGGAGGTCACGGAAGAGCCTGTGGAAGTCAGTTCTCTCTTCCCACCATGTGGGTCCTGGATATCCTACTCTGGCCTTCTGTTCCTCCCAGCAGCCTTCTCTCTAAGGAGGACAGCGGGGACAGTGGTACACACCTCACGGCCAGTTGGGAACTGCGCGTGGGATCTGAAGGGCAGACATGGCACCTGGCGCTTACTCTTGCAGCTTTATCCACAGTGTCTTTATCACCAAGATAGCAAGAGTCTCGCCACTCCGTGAAGTCAGGTGCCTTGATGTTACATCTCGGCCACTGAAACTCCTTGGATTCTGAGAATTTTTAGCCCTTTCTAGGGTAAAGATGTTATCGGGGAAGTTTGCCTTTCTTATCAAGCCCCATTAGTGGCCCTCCCGACCTGATTAGAGCTTAGAGCAGGCCACAGCTATTTAACAAGCAGTTCTCCACACAGCTGCAGGCCCAGAACGCGCTTCTCCCAAGCACCTTAAGCCAGGGAAGGGATCATGAAGTGGCTTGGGGTCCTCTGGCTTGTGACCCTCTCAGAATGCTTGGTCAAGTAAGTAGAGCGTGAATGCTATCAGCTGTCTCCCTGAGTTCTTTCTCACCCTTGTAAAAAAATGTCTGACCCTCTTATTCCCCTGCCCATCCCGGGCTGAAGAAGGAAATGAAATCCTGGCTTTCATGAGGTTCAGGTGTCCATTCATCAGTGATCGATTGCCAAGAGCACCAGAAGGGCCCAGAAGTCTTGGGGCATGTCTTCTGGATCACCCAACTCCAAGAGCACAGGTCACATCGTGGGCTGTCTGGATGTCCCTCCCGGGAGTGTTCAGTGCACAACTTGTGCGGCTGTCGGTTGTTTCTTGTACATTGTCTTGTAGACCTCTCTCAACATGTGTGTCCGTCTCTACAGATCTTCCCACCTCTGAGAGTCTCTGTCCACAGACCTGTTTCTGTCTTTGGGCTCTCATTCTCAGGCCTCATCATTTCCCTGACGGATTCCCTGCTTTAGCGCCCTTGATTTTCCATTTTTCTCTCCTCCCTCACTTCTGATGGAACTGAGATGGGAACAGAGGGCTGTTTCCCCCTGTGTACAGTGGTGCTTGCCTGTAATCTCAGCTTTTGGGAGGTAGAGACAGGATGATCAGAAGTTTAAAGGTTATAGATCAAGTTTGATGCCAGCCTAGGATACATAAGACCCAGTCTCAGAGATAAAAGAAACAAAAAAACAAAAGGGGGGAACTACTTCCTAGGCCTCGCTTCGACAGTAGCCAGCGCGGTGACCAAAGCTGAGTCACAAGGAATGGGAGCTGGGCGTCGGATGCCCGGATCTTCCATCCTTCCTCTCGGGCTGCTTCTGGAAAGACAGAACACTGGAAAGAGCGACAGCAACAGCTGTCACTGTTGGGACTGCTAGATGGCAGGTGCTCCCTATCCACCCCCGCACCCCCCACAGCGTTCAACGCGAGGAGGTTTACCGTCCCATCATCTCTACAGAAAGGGCAGTAAAGCTCAGAATGGTCCCATGGCTTGCTCCAGAGCGAACACCAGACCTGGACTGGAAATCAGGCACTCTGTCATGGTCGTCTGCCCGCTGTGTTGTGTGGCCTGTTCCAGTCACGGTCTTCTTTGGGTCTGCAGGGTCTTCACCGTGCAGCTGCCGCTTTGGCGCCCCGTGGTGCCTCTCTCTTACTTAGTTTCCTTCCCAATGCTCATTTAAAGAATCCCTCTGATGAAGATTAAGTCCATGAGAGAAAACCTTCGGGAAAGCCACATGCTGAAGGATTACCTGGAGAGGTACCCTCGTAGCCGGGCTCACGTGCTTCTAGAGCAGCGCCGGAACCCAGCAGTAACTTATGAGCCCATGAGGAACTACCTAGACGTAAGTGTGGCATGGGCTGGGGCTCCTCAGCGCCCCCTAGGGCTCCTGCCCAGCACTTGTGGCCCCTCTGGGGGGAACACTGCGTTGGGGCTGGGGTTCCTAAAGCCCGAAAGGGTGGGGGATAGGGGCTAGGATGGCTCGGCAGTTAAGAGCACCTGCTGCTCAAGTGTGAGGACTTCAGTTCAAATCCTCAACACTCACGTAAAATACAAGCTAGGTGTAGCCACACACACTTCTGACCCCAGGGCTGTGGGAGCAGAAACAGGAGTCACTGGAGTTTGTAGCCTGCCAGTCTGGCTGCATGTTCAGTGAGAGATCCTGTCTCAAAAGAAGAATGGGGGGAGAGACAGAGCAGGACTCCTAGCGTCCTCCTCTGGCCTCTGTGTGCACTGCACATACACCACACACTCCTACATGAAAGGAAAAAAAAAATGAATGGGTGAGGAACAGGGACCTGAGTGTCTCCCCACCCCCATTGTTCCCCACCCCCTACTCCAAGGAGAACACATTCCTACCCCATCTGGGGCGGTACTAGCTGGGTGGACCTAGCAATGACCAGTTACTACCACACAGACATCCTGTTCTATGCCGATGACAAGTCATTGGGCACCAGGACTTTTATTCTTTTTCACCTAGGTGAATCCCTGGCCCCAAGCAAGGGTGAGCCATATCACCAGCAAATCCGATTGCAAATCAAGCTTGGTATCTCAGGTAGAGGAGTCCTACCCCTGCAGACTCAGATTTCAGCCAATGACCAGTTAGTGAGCTCTGAGATGGGCTGGACACTGGTCAACTAGCAAGATGCTGTCGTTTCTAATGAGTGGAGCCTAACTTCTTTCTTTCTTTGGTTTTTTTTCTTTTTTCTTTTTTTTTTCTTTTCTTTTCTTTTTTTTTTTTTTTTTTCTCTGTGTAGTTTTTGTGTGATCATTTCCAAAGCGATGGAGCAGTGTTTGTGGTCAGCTGTGGGAACCTTTCTGCATAGACTGGCCTAACTTTTTTTTTTTTTTTTTTA